ATTATATAGTAGTGTAGATGGGGGTTTAGGGCCCTTCCACACAGCCATGTAATCCAGAATATCAAGGCGGAAAATCCCACAATATCTGGGTTATCTGAGTCCACACTGTCGTGTTCCAGTTCAAAGCAGATAATGTGGGATTTTATTCAATTGTGTGGAAGGGGCCTAAGAGAAGGAATTAAAGGGGCAAAATGAGCATATTATGGAGCGTCAATTCAAAGCACATAATCTGGATTTTGTCTAGATTCAGTCTATCTTCTCTCTCAGCTTTGCCTCACACTGTTTCCCTCAGAAGCTATTGCTTCTCACAGTGTTTTCCAAAAGGCGGGAAAATGAGGGACAAGCAGCCATTCAGCACAACACAGGGATATAGCAGAGGGGCAGGTGAGGGTTGAGGAACTTAACCCTGAAAGCCATTTTCCTTCTCTTGGCAAATGTGGAGTGAAAGAGCAAAGTCCTCCACTATTGCAGCCTCTTTCTTAACCCCATTATTACTGATATCTCTTCTCTCTGCTTGTTCTCATTCTCTCAGCATCCTGTTACTCTTTCGCACAGCAGTCTTGGGTTTGTCATTTTGTGAGGTACTTCTAGGCCATCCACACTGCAGAATTACACCCATTTAGTGCCACTGATATGGCTCCCTTATATAAATTGTTGTTTGTAAAAATTCCTATGAGCCATGGTAGTTAATGTGATGTAAAACTGCACTAGCTCTACAGTGGAGATGAACTCTAGTGTTCAGGCATTCTGTTCTATTGCTCAAAACATGTCTAAGAACCTATTTACAATGCCATATAATACAATTTAATTCAGGCATGGGCCAACTTGGGCCCTTCCAGGTGTTTTGGACTTCAAATCCCATAATTCCTAACAGCCTCAGGCCCCTTCTTTTTCCCCCTCAGCCGCTTAAGTGGCTGGGGGGAAAAAGAAGGGGCCTGAGGCTGTTAGGACTGATGGGAGTTGAAGTCCAAAACACCTGGAGGGCCCAAGTTCACCCATACCTGTTTTAGCTGCACTATATGATTCTATACTGCCATGTAATGCAGTTCAATTCAGTTAAACTGCATTATATAGCAGTGTAGATGGGGCCTATGTGATCGATTGCAACTGAATGTAGAAATTTTCCTTCCTATATTTCAGTGCTTCTCTTTCGGGGGGCAAAACTTCTCTTGAAAGACACAAAACACTTTTCAATTTAAATAATATACTTGTGAGGACATAATACAGAAGTGCAAGAGTATTCACGCTTTGCTAAGATTTTCTTTTGCTTCAAAACAGCTTTTTTGGGGGACTTTTCTCCATATCAGGGAGCTTGTTTTGCCAATAAAAGAGCCAAAATATTTAAAGTAAATAAAATATAAGAAAAATAGTAAAAAAAAAATCTTTAAATATAACTTGTATGCTTTTATTTAATTTTTTTAAAAAAAAATTCACCAGGTAACTCATAAAGCTCCTTTCTTTCCTGTATTATCTTCATCTAGAGATGGCCATTGTTGCTGTAAATATGTAAAATATAAGAAAAATAGTTTTTAAAAATCATCAAAATATAACCTTTATGTATTGGCAAAAGCTTTCATGGCTGGAATCACTGGGTTGCTATGATTTTTCCGGGCTGTATGGCCATGTTCCAGAAGCATTTTCTCCTGACGTTTCACCTGCATCTATGGCAGGCATCCTCAGAGGTTGTGAGTTCTGTTGGAAACTAGGAATATTGGGTTTATATATCTGGAATGTCCTAGGGTGGGAGAAAGAACTCTTGTCTGCTTGAAGCAAGTGTGAATGTTGCAATTGGCTCCCTTGATTAGCATTTAATGGCCTTGCAGCTTCAAAGCCTGGCTAATTGCTGTCTGGAGGAATCCTTTGTTGGGAGGAGTTAGCTGGCCTTGATTGATTCTTGTCTAGAATTCCCCCCCCCCCTTTTTAGGTGTTGCTCTTTATTTACTGTCATGATTTTACAGTTTTTTTTAATACTGGTAGCCAGATTTTGTTCATTTTCATGGTTTTCTTCTTTCTGTTGAAATTGTCCACATGCTTGTGGATTTCAATGGCTTCTCTGTGTAATCTGGCGTGGTAGTTGTTAGAGTAGCCCAGCATCTCTGCGTTTTTCAATAATATGCTGTGTCTAGGTTGGTTCATCAAGTGCTTAAGACAAGAAACAATCAGGGCCAGTTAATCACTTCCCAACAAAGGATATATAAACCCTACTTTCCTAATTTCCAACAGACTTCACAACCTCTGAGGATGCCTGCCATAGCTGCAGGTGAAAAGTCAGGAGTGAATGCTCCTGGAACATGGCCATACAGCCTGGAAAACCCACAACAACCCTATAAAAACAAAATAAATTTTGCTTAAAAACAAAATAAATTTTATTCAATTTGATTTTTTTTTACCAGGTAACTCATAAAATAAGTTTCTTTCCTGTATTATCTTCATCTAGAGATGGCCATTGTTGCTGTGTGAGCAGTGTTAAATAAAGATGGAGTAATCAGCCAACCAATAATTAACTCAAATCAAAAGAAACAGAATACTCTTCATATTGCTAGAGGTTTGTTTTTAAATTTTATACTTGTAGAAATAAGCCATTAAAATCTGATATTTGATATGAATCCTTCTCAAAGCTATCTTTTCTACATTGCAATATCTGAGTAATTGTTTTCCGAACAATAGAAGTCATACAAGCTCTCTGTCCCTTCTCCTAATTTCTGGTAAAAAGATTGCAGAATGCAAAGTATTTCATTCAGCCGTAATGCAGGGCCACGACTCTGACCCTATAATATAATGTGTGTGCATATAAATCTAGCATAAAGTTTGAAATCTTGTGCATAATAACCGAAGTGGTTAATTCAAATGAAATAGAACTTCTAAATAATTGTGAATAAAATTGGGCTCCTGCTCAAACAGTTCAGGCAGATGTGTACTTTTAAAAATGCATCTCCTTAAAGCAATCCAAGTTTAGGCACTGAGCAAGAGAAAAACAATAATAATTATAACTTTATTTATATCCCGCCACCATCTCCCCGAAGGGACTCGATCTTAGAGCTCGTGCCGATGTATGAAAAGAGATGCGGTCTCAAAGATAGGTTGGACCCCAAGTTTATAGTGCTTTGAATTGGGCCTGGAAACGTGTCAGCCGCCAGTTGAGCTGTTTTAATAGGGGCATAGTATGCTTCTTATAACTTGCCCCAGTTAGTAATCTGGCTGCCGACCTTTGCACTAACTACAGTGTCCGAGCTGTCTTCAAAGGCAGTCCCACGTAGAGTGCATTGCAGTAGTCCATTCTAGATGTCACTAAAGTGTAGACCACTGTGGCCAAGTCAGGCTTTTTGAGGTATGGTCGCAGCTGGTGCACCAGTTTTAACTGTACGAAGGCCCTCCCAGCCACCACCGACACCTGAGCTTCAAGTGTCAGCACTGAGTACAGGAGGACCCCCAGAGTGTGGACCTGTGTCCTCAGGGGGAGTGTAACCCCATTGAGCACAGATTGCCACTCTATACCCCAATCGACTTCGCTACTGACCAGGAGGACCTCTGTGTTGTCTGGATTAAGCCTCAGCTTGTCCCTCATCCACTCCATCACAGATGCCAGGCACTGGTCCAGGATATGGGGAGTTTCCTTGGAATGGGGTGGAAAAGAGTAGTAGAGTTGTGCATCCTAGGCCCTTCTACACTGTCATATAAAATCCAGATTATCTTCTTTGAACTGGATTATATTATATTTTATTTATTTTATTTACAGCTTTTATATTCCGCCCTTCTCACCCCGCAGGGGACTCAGGGCGGATTACAGTGTACACATATATGGCAAACATTCAATGCCAATTTTGACATACAACATATACAGACATACACAGAGGCTATTTAACTTTTTCTAGCCGCCAGGGGAGCTGTCGCTTTCATCGTCCATCTGCGACACTGATGAAGCACTTCCGCATTCCCCGCATGCTTCCCCGCTGGAATGCTTTGCTGGAGTCTTCTTTATGGCCTCATAAATCAGTTAATTTAGCCTCCCCACACTTTAAGGTGGTACCTTATTTTCCTACTTGACAGATGCAACTGTCTTTCAGATTGCAAAGGTCGACAACAGGCTACACACAATTGGTTGGAAACCCACTCCAACCCAGGCTGGCTTCGAACTCATGACCTTTTGGTCAGAGTGATCTTAATGCAGCTGACACTCAGCCAGCTGCGCCACAATCCCTGCTGTGTAGACTCGTATAATCCAGTTCAAAGCAAATAATTGGATTATCTGCTTTGATAATCTGGATTATGTGGCAGTGTAGAAAGGGTCCTAATGTAAGTTTTCTTGTTCTGGACATACATCACATACATTTCTTTGATATTTGACAATTTTAAATAAAAATCATGTTTAAAACTTGCTGTTCATAATTTGACTTTTTCAAATGAATACTATACCCCAGCTTCTAGAGCTCCAGGATATATTCTGCCAATCCATGCATAATCAAAGCTTCCATGTCAGTGGTGCAATGAATTTAGAGTAGCTATTCAAGCCTATCTCACAGTAAGTTCAGGAACACTGATAGCCAATGTCTGAAGTAAATGGATTCATAACACCACCGACATGGAAACATCTGTTCTCCTTTGCCTCAATTCCAGTCTGTCTTTCAGAATCTTTAGTCTGCTATGTACCTGAATGGTAACTTCCTTCCCTCTATCTAGTTCCTATTCATTGATTTTTCATCTTCTGACACCTCAACATTTTCTACATTTGAACCCTTTGTAGATAACTCACAAAGTATTTTAAATTAAATGTTAAATTACAGATATATATGTCTGCCCACTTAGAGAGTTCCTCGCTTGCTGTCGTATTTTTGCAAGGCTTTTCCCATACAAACTGTTCAATCACCTAAATTCACTGCTACAGAAAATGGTTAGAAGGAACATCCATATTTCTGATATGCATTTGTTTTATACCTCTATATCTTTGCTAATCACTTTCCCTCTTTTATACCAGGTTGTTCTTTTACACTTAATAAAATAATATGGGTGATGCCAGGTGCCAATCTCTGTATTTCATCAGTCTGCCTGAACTACAAAACCTCTGTGCTGTAAAAGTTACAGTGAATTCTCAATTGGATGCAACTGGGGTTCGAGCATCACAAAGGAAGTTGTGCAGGTAATATGCTTACTATATTTTTTGCCATTAAACCACCCCCAATATAGACCTTAGAAGATCCCTTTTTAAAAGAAAAAAATTGGCAGCAAAATTATATATTACAGGCTGCTTGCTGTAGTTAGCTCACATACTTCAAGATAATCAGCATTGGATATACTGAATTCATTCTGCACTGGTGGTGCTTGCTGAGCCCGAGAACTGATCCTATTCTGAAGACTTTTAAACCCATGTCATGATTATGAGGGAGTTGTTATAACTCAATTTCTAAAACCTGTTGCTTTGAAATTGCGAATAATAATAATTCACATTTTAATAAGAGATTTAGTATAGGTTGGATCCAAGACATTTGTCATTGAAGCAGACCTTAGAAATTCAATTAATAGTGAACAGACCTGATTAAATTTTAACACCTTAAATTTTAAAACCTGTTTTTTTCAACACTGCAAAATCTTTATACCACAATGAGACCATCACAAGTTCAAATGGGTATTTTCAAGGAGTCGACTTTGTCAAAAACTTGTAAACTATGGTGAAACAATTTAAAGTGAAGGCAAAAACTTTAACTACATTATTTATTTATTTATTTATTTATTTATTTATTGGCTTCCTGACAGAATTTTTGCATAAGCTATCAAATTCAGTTCAGATAACTAATTGAAACAGAAAAAAGTTGCATTTTGGTTCTAAATGTTTTTCCTATTGTGCTTGGGACAGTAGAATTTGAATATAGAACAAGGCATTACTCTTTATGAATAAAAATGGCAGTTGCTGGATTTGTGTGTGTGTGTGTATTGGTTGATTGGCTGTTTTTCACTTCTGCAATAAAACACATGGGATGATATTTCAGTGTTCTGGAAACACGCAAAGGCCCGCTAAGACCAGCTACACTTTTATCTTTTAAATATTTTTCTTATTGTGTGTTTGATGTTTTGATTACCATGTCCACTTTGAAGTATTTTAATGACAATTAATGTATAAATCTTCTAAATAAATATAAATATTGTTGTGAGAAGTTTGAGATTCATTAAATCTAATAAAAAAATATTCAGCTATATAGCAAGATGCAGGCATGTAGCCGGGGTGGGGGGGGGGGGCTTGAGGGGCTTCAGCCCCCCCCCCCCCCCCCCGAAATTCTCATGGTGGTTTACGAAAAGACCTTAATGGTGCATTACTTAAACTGCTATGTTTATTCATATCATGATCTGATCACTATACTCAATATATCCCATATGCATGGGGGTATTGGGGTAACGATACAAAAGGTTTGCCAGGGTAGACCCTCTTTCACTCAGGCTCAGCCCCCTCCCCCCGAAACAAACTCAGTCCCCCCCCCCTAATAGAAATCCTGGCTACGGGCCTGGCAAGATGTCAACCTACTTTGTTGAAACTTACTCCTGAGAAAGTGTATTTAGGATGATAGTCTTAGTATGAAAACATGACAATGACAAGGTTTTAATGTTTTTTGTAGGCGACTTGTGCTGCTGCATCAAGAAGTCATTGTTTCACCTATTCTTGGAACACTGAATCAAATTTCAGTCATTATGACGGTCAGTATGGGAGTAGAAAAAGATTATTCTCCATTTAATATGTGTCCTCGCTGAATATCTTGGCTCAATTTTTTTCTGATATAGGAAAGTTAAGTACAGATTGGTTATGTATTCACATTTTGTTATAAATGTTTAGTCCCCGGTGGAAAGGAAGGTCAACATCCTTCATGCTGCGGAGGGAGCACGAAAGTCAAAATTGTCTTTATTGACATGGACAGGAGAGCAGTTTCAGCTTACTATTATTATGGGACAACATAGTGCAAGAAGTCCCCAAGTTACAAAGAAGATTGGTTCTGTAGGTTTTTTCTTAAGCTGAATGTGTATGTAAGTCAGAAAAGGTACATTTTAAGTCTTTCTCTCCCTCCCTCCCTCCCTCTGTTTCTCTCTCTCTCTCTCTCTCTCTTTCTCTCTGCCTGCTTTGCTCACTATAGAGAAGGATTTACAGCCCCATGGTGTTTGCTTTGCTGTCTGTGCCCCTGTTCAGAAGAGTTTATCTCACTTTCTGTCTCTGAGATTATTGGATTTTGACAAATTTGGCTTGTTGTAAAAACAATGATTGGCGATAAAGCTTCAGTGGAGACACATTTTCCCCAGGATCACTCTTTCAGAGGTAGATTTCTCTTGCTTCCTGTTGTCTCACCCCTGTTCTTAACTGTGAGTCTTTTGTCACTCAGGGACTGCCTATATATTATGGGAGACTGGAAATCTCTAGTTCCCTCCAGTTCCGCCTTAATCAAGCCTCACTGTTGTAGAAATATTCCTTCAGAATTGGCTATGACAACTAGAAGAAGTTCAGAACACTAATCACAGAGTATTGCTTTGACTGGAGAAAGTCAAGGAAAAATCAGTGACACAATCACTCTTCTTTTTTATTAATTAAGCAGAGGTAAAAGTTTACCTATATTAATCCCATCAACCTTTGCCCTGGCATCTTGCTAATTCCCAACTGTCCTTCTTAGGACTCCCCTTTCCCTTCTGCTGCTGCTTCTCCCTGTGCTCCTCTCTCCCACCTTTGACAACCAGCTGCTGCCATCATTGTACATTTTAGAGGTTACAATGAATGCCCTACTACATCCCCTTGAATTACCACCACTTTGCAGATCACAGTCAGAGCAAGAACAGGAAAACATCCACTCCTTTCCCTCTTCTTTCTGAGTTCCACTGTCGTTTTGATGCCTTCAGAAGTTAAAAGATTTGTCTCAGTCCTGCTGTTCAGTCCATTGCCTCTTATTGAAAAGCCTCAGATTGAATTGCTTCCCCTATATTTTCTTCAGTAACGTAGAACAATCATCTCTCATTCTGTGAGTCTTTTGAAAGCACCTAATAGACTAAATTATTGTTGTACTATCAGCAACTAATTCCAGTATGCTAGAGGTAGACTAACTCATTTAGGCCCACATTAGCACATGCTTCAGTTGAATAGAAACAAGGTCACAGTGGGAAAGGACCACAGGCTAAATTACCACAGGTGTTCATGTTCATGAACAAGTATAGAACCAATGTATTGCTTGTTCAAGATTGCTCTGACAAGGTATTTCAGATGCATTCCTTGCTTCCAGAAGATCTGCATGAGAAAAACCAAAGAGCACGATGCTGGTCAAGCATTTCAAGAAGGAGAGCATGACAACTTGGTAGCATGATGACGTGGATGACATCTCTCCTTCACTGTGAAGGAACTCTGATGTTCATTCACAGCGAAGGAATAAATATCTGTTCCTCATGATTACTCTCAGGATCTGTGTGAATGGTGAGGAGGGAGAAAAAGGTCTCAGAATTTGGTTAAAGTAGAGTCCAAGAAAGAGGATAATAACATATTTAATGTCTTTGACTCCCTTTTCTTCATATCTGATGCTTTGTGGAGAGCAGCTTGGCAATTTGGCAAAACTATGTTAGCAGAATTCAGGTGATATGTACCTTTATCCTGCTTATTTGCTGGTATTAGTATGCTTCCAGGCCAATATCCACAGTCCTGTTATTTGTCATTCCAGTAGTCTGGTGTGTTTCCTCCTATTTCACTCTGTTTAGAACTGGCTTTCTGTAGTCCAACGAGAACCTCGAAGTAATGCCACGTAATGAATAGTGTCACTCTTTTTGGAGTATAATTATAGGAGTGTGGCTTCATTAAATTGTGGAAGATTTATATCATATAGTTTAAGTGTTGATTTGTCCTGTGCCATGTGCTACTACATTTAGATCTTTTCAAAGCAAAAATGTCAATTTTAGTTACTCTTTTAAAAATAGAGCAATAAAGCTTGATTTTAAACAGAATTATAAATATAATTACCTTGAATTATAATGGTAATCTAATCCATAATCCATGCATTTAGTAAGGAACTCTGCTTTATCCAGTAGTAGACTGGTTTTGGCCTTTATCAGCACAAAATGTACCAGTTACCTACAGGGAAGATCTTGTCCCAAACTCACAAGGGACTTCACTACCATGCTGTAATAAACATGGTGCCTCTCATCTTTTCATGTGTTTTAGAGCACTGTAAAACTAGAAGGACAAGACAGTTCGTTCTGTTTCCAGGAATAGGTATTGGTCATGAAACAAAACAAACAATGGATCCACTCCAGAGAGATAGTAAATCCACTCTTGACCCCTCTTGCATCAACTCTGAGTTGAATGGAAGCTCTCCTAATGTTGAAGTGACAGAAATTAATTACCATCAGAACTCCCATGCAATGGAGAGCCCTTCTACACATCTAGAAATCTTATTTTAATCCAGTTCCGAGATTTTACCCCTGACCCAAATCCCAGGCTTGCTCTTGGGGGGTGGCTAGATGCCGTCCCAGACCAACCAAAGGTTGACCTGGGAGGGCATCCAGCCACCCTCAAGCCTCCCATTTCCCCTCCTCCTACCCCCACCTCCTGATGCATCATATTTGGGAGGCTGGGGGAAGGGGTGGGCACCATCCCTCTCCTTTGGGTTCTAGGAGCCTGAAGAACCAGGATGGCTGTGGAGACTGACCCCTGGAATTATAGAAGCAGTCCCGGGAGTCATTCCCCACAGGCCTAACACCTGCAAAGGTCTGGACCTTAGCTTAAGGTTCAGATCTTTGCAGGTATCAAATTAATCCAGAGAAAACTGGGATATTCCAATTTTCTCCAGGTCAATCCAGATTTACCTGAGGCATCGTTAGAGTCACTGTTAAAGAAGAAATAGTAAAATCAGACTGGACTTATCTCCTCTGTAACCCCCAATCAAGTAGCAGCAGATTAGCTGAACAGGTGCTCTGTTACGATTCTGTCTCCCTAAAACATAACATTATTTTCATTTAAATGTATTGTATTGAAAGATCCCATGTCATCTTTTTTGCTTTGCTTGTTTTAGATACCCTTTTACAAGTCAGGAAAATGTCAAGCTTACATAGAGAAACACGGAGCTACAGTAAGTGAATGAAAAAAATTGTTTATAACAAATATACCATTATCAATCTGGCAATTGTTTTTGATCACCATTCCAGTATCTGGTAGATTTGTGAGGTTGCATGACTTTCCTAACCCATTTGGCAGAATGCATGTTTACTGTGTATCCTCAGTATAAACTATTGCCTCTTCTCACAAATGTACTGTGTAAAGATGGTCAAACCTGTTGATTCTGGTTTCTTCATGCAGCAGCAATATTCTGTATGTTTTCTCCCTTTTTTGATGTCTTGTGTATGATGGAGGATATTCAGGACTCATGTTTTGAGTCATGGAATCCTTTTCTTGGTATAGACTTGACTATGTAGGTGAAGAACCTTAGGGTCCTTCCAGACAGGCCCTCTATCCCAGGATCTGATCCTAGGTTTTCTGCTTTTAACTGGATTATATGAGTCCATACTGCCAGATAATCTGGTATAAATGGAAAACCTGGGATCAGATCCTGGGATAGAGGGCCTGTCTGGAAGGGCCCTCTGAGCGGTTCTACAGAGACCTGCAAAGCAGACTTGGTTTGACATCCTGGATGTGGGATTGAGCCCACTTGGCAGCCCATACTCCATGAACCTCTTCAGACGTAGCATGGAGTTCCCCACTACCTAGCTGTTTCATGTAGATCAGAAGTGTCAAACTTGCAGCCCTCCAGATATTTGGGCCTCCAGTTCCCAGAAGTCCTAGGCAGCTTGTCCAATGATAAGGAATTCTGGGAGCTGAAGTCCAGAAGTGCCACAAGTTTGGCACCAGTGATGTAGATGTTAAATAGCATAGGGGACAAGACTGAACCAGAGAGACTCCACGAACCAATGGCCAAAGAGCTGAATGGAAATCTATCAGCGCCTCTCTGAGAATACCCTTTCAGAAAAGAATGGAGCCACCTTGAAATGCTGGACAAATTCTTCACAACAGTTGCTTAGATTCTCCTTCTAGCCAAATTGTAACAGGTCCCTAACCCCTCGTGTGACCATTTAATTGCTGCCATCTCTTTGGAAAACCAGGGAGCTGATTTAGCTCCATTCCATGGGAAGGAATGCTTAGGAGCACTTGTCTCCACCATCTTGGTCATTTCTCAGTTTCAGAGCCAGAGCATTGATAGGATCACTTTGCCAAGATAGTAGAAAACTCTCCAGGAGAGTCAGGACTCCATCTGGATCCATAGATCTGCTGGGGTGGGCCATCTTCACAGATCCCACATCCTTCCTCAGGCAAGTTTAAATCTGAACAAGAAGTAATTTGCCAATGACAATGGAACAAAAGAAAACTCCTCTATTCCTAAATCGCTATAATCCCCCCTCCACCCCACATAGAAAACATTTGTGTAAAGCCTGCAAAGGACAAGGACAATGGCAAAAACAAACAATTATGTAACTCTATGCCATGCATCTTGCTAAAAGGAATGTATAACTGATTCCTGTTTTAACATGAACTATTATATGGTGTTGGCTTTCTGTCTGCAAAAAGGCAATGATGATTGGACTAGATGGGCCTTGTGGTCTCTTTCAACCTTATGGTTCCATGATTAGTTAAAAATCATGGAACCATAAAGTTGAAAGAGACCACAAGGCCCATCCAGTCCAATGGCGTGCCATGCAGGTGCACCACAGCCAAAGTAGTCCTTACAGATGGCCATTCAACCTGGCATCTAAAATCAATTCATGTCTTTTATAAAATGTATACATATTTTTACATTTTATAAAAGACAAGAATTGATTTTAGACGCCATTACTAAATAAATTAAAATATAATAATCAAAATAGCACCACAATTATAAATGCCACAGTTGCAGAGTGAAAAAGAGTGATGCAGAGTAGGAATTTATTGTTAATAACCAAATGCTTCATATCTGAAGGGATAATCCAGCTTTGCCAAGTTTACCCATATGATGCTGGAATATTTTATATGGTCACATGGATTTGTATTATAGTGAAATCACAGTGAGCTGTGTTACAAGTTGGTATTTTAGAGTAAATAAGGCAAAGGGTGAGAGTAGGAAGGAGTGAGTCAATGAGAGAGTGAGTGAGACAAAAAGAAATCTGGAGCACATTAAATTGGCTAGAAGATAATGTGATGATTAAAAATGTATACATATTTTTCTCCAGCAAAGGATCACCGGCTTGTCGGGGCGCTGGAGCTTGAGCACCTCAATGATGTCATGAGCGAAACCGTGAAGGGACACCCAAGACGGGACGGTTGTGGCAGAGAGGTCAGACCAAGCGTGATCCCTGGGTAAGGCAATGGCAAACCACTCCAGTATCCTTGCCAAGAAAACTAAATGGACCAGTACAACCAGAGATATGTCGGTATGCCATTGGAAGATGGGACTCCCAGGTCGGAAGATGGCCAAAATGCTACTGGGGAGGAGCAGAGGATAAGTTCAACTAGCCCCAGATGTGATGACGCAGCTAGCTCAAAGCCGAAAGGAAGGCGAGCGGCCGACGGTACTGGAGGTGAACGACGAATCCGATGCTCTAAAGATCAACACACCATAGGAACCTGGAATGTAAGATCTATGAGCCAGGGCAAATTGGATGTTGTTATTGGCGAGATGTCAAGACTAAAGATAGACATTCTGGGGGTCAGCGAACTGAAATGGACTGGAATGGGCCACTTCACATCAGATGACCACCAGATCTACTACTGCGGACAAGAGGAACATCGAAGAAATGGAGTAGCCTTCATAATTAATAAGAAATTCGCTAAAGCGGTGCTTGGATACAACCCAAAAAATGACAGAATGATCTCAATTCGAGTGCAAGGAAAGCCTTTTAACATTACAGTGATCCAAATATACGCCCCAACCACAGCTGCTGAAGAAGCAGAAGTAGATCAGTTCTATGAGGATCTGCAGGACCTACTGGATAATACACCAAAAAGAGACATTATTTTCATTACAGGAGACTGGAATGCCAAGGTGGGAAGTCAAATGACAATTGGGATCACAGGCAAGCATGGTCTGGGAGAACAAAATGAAGCGGGACACAGGCTGATAGAATTGTGCCAGGAAA